AATTGCAAGCTCCTCGGGCCCCAATTTCCTTCTCCACTTTGTGTCTCTCCACAGGCCTTGTACAAGCATCTGGTATTCACTATATCTTACTTGACTTCTGCCTCCCCTCATACCCTGTACCAAGGATGGATTTTTTTCTGTTTTGCTCCCAAGGCCAGTCACCAAACAGTACCCAGAACCTACTAGGGGTTCATGAACTATCTGTTGAATGACTATGAAGTATCTGGCATAGAACGAAACACATGTTAAGCCCCCAGAAACCAGCAAGCACATAAAAAACATCTATCGCAAGAAAGTAATTGAGACTGCCCAGTGGCCACTTCTGGTCTGGGGCTGCGCTTGTTCTGGACAGCAGGTGGCGCTCTTTCACCTTCTTTAGCAGGCCCACCACCCAGGTTGCTGTCAGCTCTGCTGGGCTGAAATCTTTTTTTTTTTTTAATATTTTATTTATTATTTTTATTTTATGTGTACAAGTTTATTGCCTGCATGTAAGTGCACCTGTGTCGTGAAATGCCCTCAGAGGTCAGAAGAGGACATTGAATTCCCCAGGAACTGGAGTTACAGATGGTTGTTAGCTGCCATGTGGGTGCTAGGATTTGAACCTGGGTCCTCTGCAAGAGCAGCCAGTGCTCTTAACCGCTAAACCATCTCTCCAGCCCCTGGACTGACATCTTTAAGGGGCTGGTGAGACCACCACACCTGTGGGGAAAGGAGACTCACCCCTCTGGGAGGCCAGGCTCCAGTCGAGGCCTTGAGGAAACAGGCCCCCATGGCCAGCCACAACAGCCCAAGTCCTCACCTAAGGATTTAAGAGCCCCAGAGCAAGAGTCTTCCCTGGGCCAGAAAGAACTTAGGCCAAAGGACACATTTGATAAGTGCTACTGAGAAGCCCCGCCCACTGCCAGGATAGGGCAACCCAGCTAGCTGGTTTTGACTGGGCAGTGTTGGTTCAAGAAGGCCTCCTTGAGCCTGTGACGTTAAGGTTAGAAATAAAGTAGGAGGTGCTGCCAGACCCAGAAGGAGGCGTGGTGCCAGACAGGCTGATGGGACCAGACAGTGCAGCCTTACACAGGACCCACAAAGAGCAGTGGGCATCCTCCGAGGGTGAACCACCCTAGCCACAGAAGAACCTCACCTTGCAGGATCAACTTGACTAGCTGCAGGCTTCTAAGGCCCTCGATCCTTCCAGAACTTTCTGGACTGTCAGGGGCACACTACTCTCTCCTAGTGTGGCTGCCTTCCCAAATGCCTCTTCCCCCAGTCTGAAACACCACTGGAAAAGCTCTCTGTCTCCCATCTCTCTGTCACTCACAAAACCAAATGCAACATGGATACTAAGCATAGTGCTTAGGGGAACCAAATTGTTCTTCATAGTCTAAGTCACACAGTCTACCCTTCTAGTAACTTCTGGTCACATCTTCCAGTTGCCCTCTCATGCGCAGCTTCCTGTCAACCATCATCTTTGAGTAAGTCAGAGAGAAGTTGTCTCATTTTACAGATGTGGATAGTAAGAGCAGACAGATTAATAGGCTTACCAGAATGGCAAGTCTACAGACTGAGGTTCAAAAGATAGAATGGGCGGGGAGTGCTGGGGCACGTCTTTAGTCCTAGCACTTGGGAGGCAGAGGCAGGTGGATCACTGTGATTTCAAGGCCAGCCTGATCTACATAGTGAGTTCAGGTCAGCTGGGACTACAGGGAGACCCTGGCTCAAAAAGACAAAAAAAATTTAAAAAAAAAATAGAATGGACAGCTGCTGTCGGGAAGGGTAGTTGGAGGCCTGGTGGTAAGAGGTCTATTTACATCCTGCCATGCTGACTTTCCACTTATGAATGAGAAAATCAAGACTTGAAAATTGACAGGAGGCCTGGTATGGTAGTGCACACCCGTAATCCTAGCACTCCAGAGGCTGAGAAAGGGAGGATCACAAGTTTGAGGCCAAACTGAGACAAATAGTGCCTTTGAAGCAAGATTGTGCATCCTCTCCCCCACCCCCCCACCCCCAAAAATCAATTTCACATGACAAAGGTCAGCAAGTCAGTATAGGAGCTGGGACTGAATCTCAGGTCTGTGCTGCCTGGGCAGGCTCATCCCACAGAGCCACACCACTTTCCAGCCCACTAGCTCACTGATGGGAGTGTCATTTCATTTTAAAATGCCTCAGCAACATAAACAAGCCCTGAATGACCAGAGGAAACCACAATATTCCCAATCCCAGGTGCCAGGTACCATTAGGCCCCACCTCTGTCCTGTTACACTTTCAGTTTGTGGCGCTTGTAACTGGGCACGGTACCAGCAGATCACTCTACTTCTTAGAGGTCAAAATCCAGGTGCTCCAGACACCTGAAACCTCAGGGTTTCCCTGGGCCAGATGCAAAACCAGAGGAGGGGCCAGAGCAAGAGAGACACTTGCCTGCCACACCACTGCCAAGCATGCAGGCTCATACCTTCCAATAGAGCCTCACACCCTGACCCTGTCTGGACCAGCTCTCACCAGACCCCCTCCTACATACATATCAGCCTCTGGGCAGGAGGGAGAACAGCCACGTGAGAATACAGAATACCTGGAAGTGCACTATGGTGCTGTTCATGGCAAGAAATAACAGGAGGAGGCTGATATACAAGTACTGATCATATTCTTCACGGTGCCCCACAATGGGGCTGCTTTACCCCGAGGGAATGCATAGCTGTGGTACAGGGAACTGTAGTAAGTTATAAGTCCATCAGTTGATATTACAAATATAAAAATAAGAAAGATTTGATTTTATTTTTTCAAGACCCAGGTGGCTTGGAACTTGCTATGTAGACCAGGATGGCTTCAAACTCACAGAGATACTCCTTCTGCCTCCGAAGAGCTGGGATTAAAGGCATTCAAGAAAGATTTTTGGTCAAATGGTGGGATACACCTGTAACCCCAACTACTCAAGAGGCTAAGGCAGGTGGCTAGAAAGATGACTCAGGGGTTAAGAACACTAGCTGCTCTTGCAGAGGACCTGGGTTCAGTTCCCAGCACCCTTTGGTGGTTCACAACCATCCCTAATGCCAGTTCCAGAGGCATCTGATGTCCTCGTCTGGCTTCCAAAGGCATTGCACAAGTGCACTTATGTACATACAGGCAAAACATTTATACACTTGCATGCCTTTAATCCCAGCACTCGGGAGGCAGAGGCAGGCAGATCTCTGTGAGTTCAAGGCCAGCCTGGTCTACATAGTGAGTTGCAGGACAGCTGGGGATACAGGGAGACCCTGTCTCAAAAAGACCAAAAAAATAAATAAA